ACATAAATATATTAATTTAATTTGAATTAAGCTTGAAATAAATTAATTTAAGTCAGTAACCAATAACAAAAAGAAGTAAATATTAATAAATTATTGTTTGAAACAGAAATGTAGATTTTTATGTACAGACACAGATGTGTCTGTACATATTGCCATCACCTGTGTCTGTCGTCGCCGTCGTCGCCGTCGCCGATGCCGATGCCGGCGCCGTGCACTTTCCTTGTTAACACGATAAGTGGAGGGCAGTTTTACTTTTTGGCTTTATATTTACAGAGCTGATGAATANTTTTTTTTTGTGACATAGGAATAAAATAATACTTTACCAGCCAACCTTCTGCTTGCTGACAGTGTTTTCAGCATAACTTGTCGCAGTATACAACATGTTTTCCAATTTCAGAATGACGCGGTTGTCCACATTTCCAGATTATTTGATCATACAGCTGAAGAAATTCACAATAGGGGATGACTGGGTACCAAAGAAGTTAGGTAAGAAGTGAGATGAAGTTGGTAATGTTAAGATGCTCTTGAGGATTTCTATCCTCTGTTTTGATTTGTAATCTCCATATTGTTCTGCAATAATATGTGTTTCTGAGTTATTTGCTATACAATAATGTTCTTCTTTATTATTTAGATATAAATGGTGAAAAATATGGAAATGAAATACAGATAAATTACAGTTATTTATTTTGCATCTATCTAGCATATTTTCAAAATATGTCTGCATTGTTATTAATGTTATTACATTGAGAGATTAATAATGACATTTTTCATTGAGATTTACAAGTAAGTTGTCAAAATGTCCAAATTGACATAATCATGTGTATATGGTGTTATGTTCTTATCAAAATAATTTTTAAAAAATTAACACTGACAATCATATACGCTGTGTTCCAGATGTCTCTGTTGATATCCCAGATGACCTTGACCTTAGTGACCTGAGAGGTCAAGGTCGTCAGCCAGGAGAGGAGGAGCTGCCTGAGGAAGCTGGAGATCAGAGTGAAAAAGGTTAGAAGCTGTCTATTATGTTTGCACATTTTTACATTGAAATTCATTTCAGTATTACTTAGTAGGTACTGTATGTTTTAAAATGATATTTTCAAATGTTACATGATTAGAAATTCCAACTATCCTTAAATCAGTTCTTTTAGAAGTCTTTTCAGTGAATTTTATAGCTCAGCTTGTTAGGCATATTATTTCATTCAGATTAACGTGAAGCAGTTAATCCAGAAATTGCATCTCTGCATTTTTCTTGGCACATGCATAATTAGTGTCAACCAAAAGCGACAGATTAAACATTTGAATGGGTCTGTTGCCTGTTATTCTATAACATTTGGGTTAAAGCTGACAATGATGAATGAAGATGTATTTATTTGTACACCATTCAGTGACAGTGGATGAAGCTGTGGTGCAACAGCTGGCAGACATGGGTTTTCCTGCCAATGCCTGCAGGAAGGCTGTGTACTACACTAATAACACAGGGGTGGAGTCAGCCATGAACTGGGTCATGCAACACATGGACGACCAAGGTTTGTCCTCTCTCTCTCTCTCTCACCCAAATCTCATGGCTTTCTCTTACTCGCTCTCTCTCTCATGTGATAGTGTGTGTGTGTGTGTTTAACTAGATAAAGAATATTAAGAAGACCAAGATATGCCTTATTTTAGTGACACACTAATTCATCTTTTTTTCCTATTCTCTCCTATCACATCCAGCCATGATTTCTAGAATTACCAGTATGACTTATTATTTCCATTCTTAATTTGTAACCATATGTCATATGGGCATCAGACTTTTTTCAAGGTATGTAGTCAAGTGCCCTTTGGTGTGAAGAACACTTTCCTCTTTTCACCTAGATTTTGCTGAGCCTCTTCAAGTTCTGGGGCAACCCAAGAGAGATGACTTTGCCGTGAGTGAGGAAGGCCTGGCCATGATTATGTCCATGGGTTTCAGTGGCGAGCAGGCCGTCAGAGCCCTGAAAGCAACAGTGAGTAGATCACAGCATGTCAAGTTTTCTTATTGTTACCTTGTGTATTTTCACCACCACGTGGGTGTGTTTTTCTCTGTATAAGTCAGATTTTCCTTTTCTGATTTATCAACCTATATCACTGTGTTACAAAAAAGATTTGTAGATTTTTATGTACAGACACAGATGTGTNCTGTTAACCATTATGTAATATTGCATCAGAATAGAAGAAAACACAATTTTGGGTGCTGCTGCCATGATGACCATTATGGGAAAACCATGTTATTTATAATTGCCAAACGTTCAGAAAAGAAATACAGGACTAAAATGCAGCCTGAGTTGGAAAAGTAGTCTAATTGGCTTCTTTTTCTGGAAGTTATACATTTTCAAAGTGTGAACTTGAACTCCCATGGGCTTGAAGCCTTATGCTTGTTACACATTTTACTTACATTGGTATTACCTGTTGAGCATAATTAAAATTTGATGTTGAATTTGCAGTTTAACATAATGTACTTTTGCATCAGAATTGACAGTAGCCTATTTTGTGCATAGTTATTTCCTGTTTTTTGTCTGTACATTTGACAGCTTTGCTGCCTTGTTACAAGAAGGAATAATTATTAGGTTTTGTCCTTGAACCTTCATCATGAAATTAAACCTAGTATAAAGGGGTGGGGGAACTTGATGTGGTTTACAGATATTTTGGGAAATGATTTTGGTTTAGACAGTGAGGATTTAAGTAGTGAGGATTTAAGTAATTGTAAATTTTTTCATTGCGATTCTCATAGGACAATAACACAGAGAGGGCTGTGGATTGGATATTTAGTCACGCAGACGAATTAGACCAACCTATGGAGACAGAGGCAGAGTCAGCATCTGATTCACAGCCAAAGTATAGGGATGGGCCAGGAAGTAAGTGTCCATGTCGAACCGTTGCTCTGAGGAATTATCTATTTTCAACATCAGGCTTGATGTTTTTCCATTTAAATACATTTTTTTTAAAACTTTTTAAGATGATTTTTCCTAAAGTACACCTTTATTATACTTGAAAATCTCTGGACATGTTAGCTGTATTTTAAACTTTTTTTCAGTTACACATTTCAGAAAGAGTCTTTTCCTTTTTGCAGTATGTATTGTAACCTTGTTCTCTTTGTTTCAGAGTACAAACTTCTTGGATTCATCAGTCACATGGGAACATCTACCCTAGTGGGCCATTACGTGTGCCACATACGAAAGGAAGGGAGGTGGATCATCTTCAACGATGAGAAAGTTGCACTTTCAGAACACCCTCCAAAGGACTTAGCTTATCTATATGTATATCAGAGAGTGCAGTAAGGGCTCCATACTGTAAAATGTAACAGAATAAAATTTCAAAGAGGAAATTGTGCTTTCTGAACACACTCCTAAGGATATAGCCTATCTCTGTTTTTCTCAGAGAATACACAAAATATTGCAAAGTAAATGTGAAGAAGAATTAGAGTTAGCTGTGTCAAAGTTCTGCTTCAAAAAAACTGGGTCACTCACATAGATAAGGTTTTAAACTTTCACTCGAAACTATTCTTAAATGTATACCATTATTATTTAGTGCCTTCTGTAAAGGACTGTCAAGTGGAAAGGTGTAAACTGAGAGGGCTCATAAAATATTTCTGCAAAAATTATCAAAACTCAAAACAAACTCAGTGCAGTTGTGTCTATTGTATAATTCTCTGTTTGCATCTTTTGGTTATTTGTGTGGACTATGTCATTATGAGTTGACGTTATGTAAATGTCAGTTTTAAAACACATAGCATTTAAATGCTAATATCTGCTATGTTAGGTAAGTGATTTTACACAACAGGGTTCATTGTGTACAACATTTATGTTCACTACTATATTAATGTAAGGTTGAGCATGGGAATGTGATGGGGCCTATTTGCAGTGATATATATATATATATATATATATATATATATATATATATATATATATATAGAAGGGAAAAGTCGCTCTGATAACCTTTTGTTAATGTTGGAAATTTTTACCAAAACATGATGCATCAGTAGTTCGTATATGTTGCATGCTATCTTCTACTTATTTTGTAATATCACAAGGTCAACTTGGTATAACAAGTACAACTTGAACATTTATCTCTAGTTGGTGAAACTGGATGGGTTCAAAATCCTTAAAGTTTTCAATTTTGTTATGTCTACCTGGTTAAGTTTGTACAGGTGTTTGAATATCTATCTCATACTCTAGAGCATCACAAGGGTTCAAAACCCTTTGTTCTGATGGAGATGCAATTGTCCCATTACAAAAAAAGTGGACTTTAATGTTCAAATTGTGCCGAAGCTATGGATAGTGGGTTGCAATTTCATGCTTTCTGAATTAATGCAGTAGGTCGTCACTGTTTTACAAGTTAGCTGAGAAAAAATTACTTGTTTATGTTTGTTACATGCATTGTACTGCTAGATTCAGAAATTGCTGCGGCCACTGGTTGATGTTTAAAATGCAGGTTAACAGCATTGTCTGTCATTAAAATATTCTTGAAATCTACTAAACTTTGTCTTGATTTTGATACCTGAAAAGAAATGTCTTATGCCATTTGTTCTTGTGGAGGCTTGGGTACATGTTCTCCAAAAATTTTATTAAATATTGTAATTAAATTTTCAAATTTCTAAAATATGCAATTTAACAAGGCAAAATTAAAAATTATAAATAAGGTGAAAATATATCAGTGTATCTTCTGCTGCAGAAAAAAGAAAACGAAGGCATCTCCAGTAAATGAAAAGTGCACCATTTATTACTTTCCTTGTCATTCTGAGCATATCCAACTTCTGTAATGCCCTGTTCCCTTAGGCTTATTTAAATAAACAATGATTTCATTTTACCCTATTTCATCAATTTGTATGGCCAGGAACTCAAAGTTGGTCTTGTCTTGGTCATCCAGTTTTTGACTATATGCATAAACATCTGACACATTGCTCCATCTATTTTTGTTCAGTTTTATTAACTTTTTCAGTGCTCATTGCCAAATGCACTGCATTTAGTTCCCTGTAACAAACATCAAGAGCTTTCTGATATTTCCATGGCAGCAAATTTGGCAGAATTTTCATCAGTAACAACACTCAAAGGGTCAGTAGTCGAGTGCTGAACAGCACCTGTTGCATTGCTTTCAGTCTCTCCTTGTTGCCTTCCACCCTGGTGACTTATTTCACTGCTACCTTTGGTGCTGGCCTTGTCAATTCTCCTGTCACTACCTGTGGGTTTCACTTTTGTATCAACTATTAGATCACTATTGTTCTCTGTTTTTCCTGCTGAGAAATTGAATGTAAAGTTTTGCCCACTGGGCATCATTCTGTAGTAATTAACACTTGCATTTGAATCAACTGCCGTAACAACAGGCTCCCTCCCATTTTCCGTTATTACACCACCCACAGCCGATTTCTCTGATGAATCTCCTTTGTCAGAGTTCAACTGAAAACTGAACGTAAATCCAGATCCTGTATTGGACATTATAGAGCCACAAGATGTGTTGGAGTTCTGTGAATCATTTGTCTGGCCTTGACTACTGACATGCTGAGACTTTCTGAGGAAAGTACTTGACTTCTGGGAGTGTTTCTGGGGTGCGGGTTTGAGGCAGATTTTCTTGGCACCTGTGCAAATAATAATTTATTATCCATGAATCATTAAAAACAGCATACCATTTTTACTTATCAGTAATTTCAAACATTAAGATGTTGCACCACAAACTTAAACATTTCACGAAAATCTCTTGCACTGTATGTCAAAACACTGCTGCTCTATCAGCACTTTGTTGTTATATGAACCCCTAACCATCTCTCTCTCTCTCTCTCTCTCTCTCTCTCTCTCTCTCTCTCTCACACGCACACAAACACACACTCTTACATAAAAGCTGTAACTAGGCGAGTTTAAAAAATGTTCCCATTTCTTCATTCCGGTAGCAGTATCACAGAGCATATGTTTGGTAGAAATAAGATGCTACCAGTACCCTGAAGATGGGGAGGGGTGGGGGTGTGGGCTGGGGGTAGGGCTAAAGTATTATAAATAGACCTACTTGCAGCAAATCGTTTCTCTTCTTCTTGCATTTTCTTTCTATAATCGCCAAATGTCATGCGCATCATTTGCCGTTTCTTCACAAGTGGTGCCTTAGGGTTCTTAAGAGTCTTGAGGATTTTCAGCGAGTCTTGCACTGGAAAAATATATTAAAATATTTGTGCATATTTGTGTGTAAATGTGTGTGTGTGTGTGTGTGTGTGTGTGTAAATAAATGACAAGCAGTAGATATAAAATGACTAATTTATCACCAAATCAGAGCCAAGTTTGCAAAAATATAAAAATAAAATATAAAATGGTCTTCTGAATTCTTTCTATTGGCACAAAAAGTTTCTTTTATCCTTTCCTGGAACACTTAAAATAAATTGTAATTGTAGTTCAAAGCAAGCCCATCTTTGGTACTAATTCAAAGCAGACGTAAATGACTACGTACCTTGTTTAGAATCTGATTTCTGTGATGCCAGCCCAGCTTCAAGCTGCTGAATACACCACACCAGCTCTCTCTCCAGACTTTCCTAAAATGGCAAACATTTTCTTTTTTCATATGAAACTGAATCAAAACTGGGGATGCTGACCTGCAATGTCTGAGAATGATTTTATGTGCATATCAAGCTTTCTCCATCTTCTCCTCTTGAAAATTTGTTCGGCTACTTAAAGCATTCTAAAACCAATATTGAAGGTCATTAAACATGTATGGACACCTGACATCCCCAGCTGGATTTACTATGCAGTCAGCACAAAAGGTTTGGAGCTTGATACATGGGAATGGTAGTGATACAATGTTAGACAACTGTAAATGCTAGTTAGATATATTTCAGCTACATAAGCAGCAGTTAGGGTTGTACACAAAAAACACCCCTTGTGAATTCAAGAAAGATTCATGAATTGATCCATAAAGAATTAATTAGCATAAAATGTTCAGGCAAATAAACCTGTATATCCAAAACACCGAGCTGGTAGTATGCAGTAGAATCAATATGTTAAACAGAATAATTATTCCTGAACTTGGTTTTAATTAAGTTATACCTCAGGGGAGAGTCCATTATCTGGTGTGTCAGGGTTTGTATTTGAACCAGTATCTCCACCAGCATCTGACTGAAGTAAAAAGTCCAAATAACAATTATATTAGTTAATATATTATTATATATAAAAGTTAAAAACCTCTTTCATAACTTTTAATTTAAAAATATGATCTCTTTTAGATCCTTTAAGACATTTTATAGTTTACTAAAATTTGTTCAATGTAATTATAAGGACCAACGATTGAGACTTATAAGCGTGGGATGGTTGTCCTTATTTAAAATCTGGACATCGTGTGAATTATCAAAATAATGGGATTGAATGAAACTGCATGATTAGCACGACTACTGTACATTTGTATGTCAATAGATCAACGGAGACACTGACATTCTTGAAACATTAGGCACACAGAGAACTGTGTATTTACAAAAAATGGGTCAAATGTGCATTTTCATCTTACTGATCCTTCATTTTTTCGTTTCTGTCTAGGGGGTCGTTTCTTGTTGCCACTTTTCGGTCTCGGCGGCTTGCCACGATCTGCCATGCTGAGTTTACTTCTCGTGTCCTAGATTTTTTGTATCACGTGACACCAGAAATTTAACCAAAATTTACGGTTATTTAGGTGAACAAATTGTACTATTCCAATTTAAAACTATGAATATGTTATATAGATACCATCAGGAAAAAGTTATCGCAATACGTAGCGATTTTAGGTATCAGCACCACATCAAGGAAATCAAGTAAACGAGACTATGAACGAGATTTCGTCTGCAAATTGTAAACATGGCGGAGAGTGGGGGCTTGGCCAGAGTTTTGGGGAAAGCAGGGTTTGACCCTAAACCATGTAAGTGAGATGGAATTGATATGGTTCCCTTGGCGTGTTTGTGTGTCCTGAGAGTTACGTTAGAAATCATTTTATGCTCTGTTTCATGCTATTTGTGATTTGAACATGCCTATACCACTGGCAAGCTTCAACATTCAACATTATACTTTCACACATCATGCATTTTAACTTATTCTTTTAAATGGAGTTCCAATTTTAAGCTGATTCTGCCTCACTTTCTTAGCTGTTATTGAACTTTAATATTTCAGTTGTTAATAGCATTTCCCAGGGAGGCGAGGAAGATCTGCAGAATAACAGAAGAAAAATACAATCTTTAGCAGAAGATACAGCCCAGGCTTTGAAGAAGAATGTTTACAGGAACTATTCACAGTTTATTGAGACTGCCAAGGAGGTGTCCAGTATCCTTATATCAACAATACAATAAGATTAAAAGAGGGATGAGAATTTACTGATTAACTTGGCCCTCTGGACCCCTTTGCCATATTTTCTGACATTTTCACTAAATGGCAGTATCATCGCTGTTTAGATCAGGTTATCCATTTAAATACATGTAAATCTTATATTAACAAGATAAGAGAATAGGTAATTCATTTATTCCTTTTCTTTTGGCCTTGATTTTTTTTTATAAAGCACTTATACATGTAAAATTGAACAGCTATAAGATTTCCTGTCTTCAAAATGTGTGTTCCTTCACTGTGATTTTTAGTCCTTGAAGGAGAGATGTACCAGCTGAGTCACATGTTGTTGGAACAGAAAGCTATCATGGGGGCTATGTTGGAAACTTCTCTCACAAGTGACAAAAGTAGGTGGTTACTACTCACACATAAACATATTTTTACGTCTCATTTATGGACTAGATGCTATTTAATTGTACTGAGCTTTTAATTATTGTCATATTATTAACTGTTGATTTTCTTTTGAAAATATTTATGTCATAGATTTCTGTTATTAAATACTAAATGATGATCATTATGGGAATATTAATTACTTGGAATTTTTAAAAGAATTTGATTAAATGATGAGCAAATGTATAATTTCTATTTGGCAGACTAGACTTCCAAAATTTTTTGGGAAAAAGGGCTTCAAAATTTGCAATTACAAAAGAGATGAGTCAAATGTTTCATGTTATTTATTTTTGAAATTATTTAAGACACATAGCAACTAATCATGGACTTTTTACCTCCATAGTTGAACTTCCTAAGGAGAAAGTAAAAGAGGAAACCCCAGAAGAAGACACAAGGAGAAACCTAGCTTTCCTTTTGGAGAAAGTGGAGGGATGTTCCGTAAGTGGTGAAAAATAAAATTGCTGAATAATGAGACCCTCAGCAATTTTGAAGCTGCTTTAGAAATGTCATAAAGATTAAAGCCTCATGTTAAGATCACAGGTTTTTGCCCTTGGCTTTTTTCTGTTAAATGTTAACAGACTATTAAACAAGGTATTACAAGAAAAAATTAAAGGTTCGCAGTTCTAGTTAATATTAAAAAAATTGTCAAACTGAAATTTAAAATCAAAGAGGTACACAGTTTCCCATTCTAGGTAACAGTTGCCATTATCATGATTAAAATTTGTAATTGCACAATATCACTGCAGTTCAATACCCCCCCCCCCC